ATATAATCATACATAATATTAATAATAAAATATTATATAATCAAATTATATAATAATTAAATTTTTATTATTAATACTTTTGATACTTCAGTTCGATATCAGTATTTTAAAATATTATATTAAAAATTTTTAGTAATTATCAGTTTTATAAAATATTGTACTAAATAGTATTAATCAAAACTCTATATAAGATTATTTAGTTTATCAAATATAATTTAGCTAGTGCAAAGTCCTATTAATATTTAGAAAGATACTTAATCTAATATATAACTGATTGATAACTTGAAAGATTGATACTAGTTTATTTTTTTTTGATTTTATTATGAATTATTTATTGTATTTCTTGTTTTCTTCTTTATAAAACTTTGTTTTTTTTTAAAAAAATATTTTTAAAAAAAAGAAAATTCAATTAGTTTTATAAGCAAAAGTTACATATTATATTTTAAAGAATTAAATTAAGGTTTTCTTATTTTTTTAGATTTTTTTTTTTTTTTTTGAAGTTAAAAATATTTTTTGTTGTTTTTTTAAAATTATTAAAAAAAAGAAATTTTTTAAAAATTTGGATATTTATTAAAAAAAATTTTTTATTTAAATTTTTTTTTTTTTTTAATATAAATAAATACCATTTCTTTATTTATTGTATATAACAAAATATACATTGTAAAAAAAAACAATATCTTTCATATGTGACTATAGTGAGTTAAATATTAGCTTGCCTATAGTAATCATTTAACTTCTACTAAAAAAGATATTTTAAACTAGTATACTAATTAAGCGATGTCAAATAGCTATGAATATCTATTCAGAGTTTTATACAATAAAGTTATGGTAATTAGAGATAAGATTATATATATATTTTGAATAGTTAAGATTGCTTTGAATAAATATTTCTGTGATAAAAGTTGGGATATTAATTATAGTACTGTCAGAAGTTGAGATTGAAATATTATTATTGGAAAGTAAACTATCTTTTTGTATTTTTTTATTATTGATATTATTATTACTATTACTATTATTAGACAAGATATTTGTGCTATTGACATTTATATTGTTGTTACTGTTAATGCCATTGCTGTTATTATTACTTTTTCTTTTTTTGAGATTTTTGTTCCACTTGATACCAGTAATGGGAGCAGTATTTGCTGTACTATATCAAGGTTTTTAGATAAGATTATAGGAGGATGCTTTATTTTAAATTTTTTAATAAAATTATATTTAATTTATATTATAAAAATTAATTTAAAATAATTTTTCAAAAAATATTAAAATTACTTGATTTATAAACTTTTTTTCAAAATCTTATTTCAATTAAAAATAATATTTAAAATTATAAAAATTATTTTAAAAAAATTAGAAATAAATTTTCAAGTATTGTCAATTGATAATATATCTGTTTTATAAGTAATATTTATTAAAAAATATTTTTTTAAAAGATTATAAATTTAATTTTATAAAAACAAAACAAACAAACAAAAAAATATTTATTTATTCATCAAAAGTTTAAAATTGAATAATATTATTTATAATAACCATATATAGAGGTTGTCTAAAGCGGGGGCAAATCACGTGTCAATATTGTATCATCGTACATTGTTTTTAGAAAAAAAATAAAAATTTCTTTACCAATTCCTAATATCTTCAGCTTCTTCTCCTTTAGCTTCTTTAATTATAACATCAACATCAAATCTTATACCAGACGAAAAGCAAAATCTTCTTTTCAATATAGACTGTACTTTAGAGATTCCAATGGAGGTTTTTAATAACGAGTGGTGGCCGTTAGTATCGAATATTTGGACGAAGTGGGACCTTTATAAATATATAAACGGTAACGTTCGTAAAATTTTCGCCTGTTGTTTTATGAAGCATTGCGAATCGAGTATCCGTCAAAAAAAAATGTCCCGAATGAAAAGCACCGATTAACCAAGACACGGCCACCTGGCATATGTTCTGTGATGATCAAAGTTTTATGGGTAGTTTCTTCAGAGAAAGTTCAAGTAGAGTAATATAATAACTCCTCTAACCATATACATTCTTTACTGGAAGTTGATAGAATAAAACGGCCAAAAGTTATTAAAAATCTAGTTGAAATAGAAGTGGCCAAAAATTATTCGCCCCCCGCAATCACATCTGTCATCAAGGAATATGCAACGTTGGAGTTAAGTCTTGGTGAATGTACGCGCGAGCTGAAGCACAAAGAAGTAGCGAATATTAAATACAAAGTTCGCAGGCCTGCAGAAACTCATCTTAAGGAAAATTCAAATTTAAAATTAGACATTTTGGAATCCGGTTCTTATTTAACAGAACAGAGGTATTTTGTTGAAAATTATCGTGTTTCACAATGGTCTACTAAGGATGTCATATTTACGCATCCAGAGCAACTAAAGAAACTTGAATGTCATGGATGGTTGATGCTCATAGATTCAACACATAAAACCAACCGGTACAACTGGCGTCTATTTACTCTTTATGTTCGTGATACCTACAGATGTTGGAATGTAGGCGCCCATTTTTTTGTAAGCAGTGAGGATGCAGATACAGTTGCACAAGCTTTAACAATAATTCGCAATATGTGTCGCTATTGGTCCCCTCGTTACATACTTTCGGATTATAGTAATATTGAAGCTAAGGGGATTAAAAAGACATTTCCCGACATATCTGCTGGTGAGCAAGAGTGCGAAGTTATCCTTTGTGTTATCCACGTTATGAGAACGTGAATCCAAAAGATTCATGAAAAAAAAACTTGGGACACAATAGTTGTGGCGATGCACAAACGGATGAAGATTGGATGCGAGGGCCTTGTTCAGGATACTATTAATCAATGTTCCATTCCTTCTATATAAAACTATATTAAAAGAAATTATTCCAAAAATACGGAGAAATGGGGATTATGGGCTCGTCAACACTCCCCCTATTTTTACAAGTCATGTCAACAAATTCATTAGAATCTTTTCACAGTGAATTAAAAAAAAAATGTCTTCATTATATGGTTTGATTGGTGCGTGACGATTTTCTTTGATTATTTAACCCATATACCCAACTCAAAACTTTTTTTTTATACTTTAGGTACCATTTACAACATTGTCGATATTGATTATAAAAAAAGATCTGAAGCCAAGAGTGCATCCTTTGATTTTCGTATTAAGAAAATATCCATGTATGGTGTTGATGATGATATTCTCGAAGAAATCAAAAAGTTTCCCTATTTGTTTCAATAATTAATCATTAAAAAAGCCTGTGCTGTAATGAATAGACTTGAAAAAGGAAAAGGTGTGCCAGGTCTTTCTTCTCTCGATTGTTTCTGCTTGTTTCACCATCGATATTTACTACCGTGCAAGCACATTTTTCACGAGCATATATATGGCAATAAATTGTTGACTGCTAATGTATGACAAATGTTTCGCTCAACTTTTGAAGAAAATGGGTTTGAAGTATATAAAAGCCGAGAGTCATTTATAGAATATGTTCAAACTGAGCAACAGAAAAGCGTCGAAAATCGAAGAATTGTATTGGATGAATTAATCAAAAGAATGCACAATAAGTATTGGTGTGTTGAAGAGATGGGTAATGCTGAGAGGATGCAATCCTTTATTTCTATGTTAGAAGCTTCTGTGGATCCGATCATATCATGTTTTGATGATAATTCAAACGAAAAAACTTAAGATGTATTTAGGAATAATTGGAAAATGAGAGTATGAATAATATTGTTATAGGTGCCAACAGAAAAACCATTAAATTCATACATTTATATATTTAAAGGTTATAGCATATTGTATTCGGGTTTGCTTCGATTAGAATTTTATTATGAAATTTTTAATGTGAATTTTAAATAAAAACAATAAATATGGGCAATTTTTTATATAATAAATATGGATTTTATATTTAATTTTATATTTAATTTATTTATTTAATTTTTTTTTATTTATTGATTTTATTTATTGATATTTTTTACTTTGCCAGACGTTTTTTAGCCATTATTTTTCTGGTTAATTCCGAAAATCGTATCACGTGATTTGCTCCTGCTTTAGATGACCTCCATATATAGTATAATAGATTTTTCAAATCTTTAATAAAAAATCAATTTTTTATAATATCTTTTATATATTAATACAATAAGTTAAATATTTACAATAATCATGTGACTAATATTGAAAAAAAATTAAATTAATATACAATATTTTATCAAATAATATTTAGTAATCATAAATATTTATTTAGAATTGAAAAAAAAGAATTATATTGTATTGAAATTAAATTATAAATATATTTGAAGTAATTGGATTTATATTAATAAAAGTATTGATAATTAAAAAAGGTAAGTCAATAAGAAATTTTTTTTGAAAAGTACTGGTTGATACAGTTTTGATAAAAAGAGTTAAAATCAGACTTTGTTTTGGAGTTACTTAATTTTTAAAGACAAATATATAATATACATTTTATCATATGTAGTTATTTATTATACAGTATATCAGAACTTAGATGCAGGATGTGTAATGCATATATTTTATATTTAATAATTGATTAGATACTGTATATAATTAAAATTTACAAAATAAATGATTGAAATAATAATTCTTATATTGATTATAAAGATAATTAACAAATAATAATGTTATTTTTAATTGAAGCATAAAAATACATAAGAAAAATCTGGTTTCTAAAGCAGAGCTTTATTATATTGCCTACTTTATAATGATAGCATTCACAATTGATAATATATTAAATAATTTTTTGATCAACAAATAACTTTTGTTCGATATGAATATCTACATTAATTATATTTTTATTTTAACAAGTGTACAATTTTTTAATCGTAAAGTCCATACTCTAAATTCTCTGGGAGACATTCTGCGCATAATGAGATCTTGGATTGGAATCAGTAATTAATTATTACTTTTAAATCAGTACCTCTTTTTTATTCATCATATTTTAATCAAATAATATCACTCCAAAGGTTATTTTATCTTTATCCTTTTTTTTTAATGAAAACACAGTATCCGTCGCTACCTCCAGTGAAAATGGAATTCATCATTTTGTCGCTGTTGCCGTTGTTGTCGTTGTTGACTACCCGAACCTTCCGAATGCACATTTACCTCAATTTTTTCGCCTATGGATTCATTTTCATCGTCAAAAAAAAACCTATCTATAATTTGGTATGCAATCGATTGGATATCATTGTTTTCATGGAATTGGAAATAATTTATACGTTCCGTTCCACCGCACTCCTCTATGATCAACGCATATGGATTTTCGCCGTTCCGTTCCGTCGAAAGGTTCTCGCCAAGTTGTAGAATGATCCAAATAGCCTGAAGAGCGACATAGATAATATCATTGTCAACGTAGTTTAACATGTTAATTAGCGGAGGGATGCAACCTTGTCTAATTATGCAAATAGTTAATTCCGGCTGAGAGCAACTCTTCTTTATCGCATTGTGTATGACCCAGCAAGCCTCTTTCCGAGTTTGAAAATCCGAATTTGTCAGTAGGTTGATGACAAGAGGAAT